GTAACGTTTTCGCTTGGAAGTTGATATGTGATAATACTTCTGCTATATTTCATCTCTTTGACTTCTTTTCTCATCCAATTGAGCCCTAACACTCTTGAATCTTCATTCCATTGTCCGTCTCGTCTATGAATTATTTGCAACTTGATCCCTGAACTTTCGTTTTCTTTCTCGTTTTAGCCCTTTTTCTTCTTTTTCTTCCTTTGATCATCCTGTGGTATTCCCGAGTTGATACTTAGCTCATTTGTATTCTCGATTCGCTTTTTGGTCCAACTTTTGGGTATTTGCACCTTGATCCCTGAACTTTCATTTTCCTTCATTTTGGTCCTTTTCGTATCTTTCTTTTGAATTCCACAACATCCATCAATATAACCCACAAAACAAAATTACGTAGACTTAAACCACATTCCATCTATAATTAACACAATTTAGTCATGTTTTGCGGCTCGAATAAGTGTATAAAAACACATTTATCAATTCACTATGAAAATCTAAGACAAGTTGTCACACTCGTTGGTTGTCTATTGTTATCTATTGAAACACTGAAATTGCACCAATTGGTCTGAGTTAATATTGCTAACAACATTGCTGCACCATTACTTGGTGTAAGAGATACTCGTTCCTGTTGCTGCCATCGATTAGATTAAATGAAAAATCGAGCAGTCTCAATTATATGTTTCAGTAGCCACTGAACTTTGCGTAATGTCTCGACTTACTCATCGAACTTCGAAACTTGTCTCGGTGGCCACCGAACTTCACTCCGTCCCACTCCATTACTCACCGGCTGAAATCCTTTCGTTTCCAAAATGACGTGGTAGACGGAAAAACCATGTGGCCAGTTAAATCCTTCCAAATATGAATCTCCTTGCCAAGCCAGATTCCACATTGGCTCCACATCATTTAACTCCTTTACTTTACTTACACCAGTTCAGAAATTGAAAACCCATTTAATTGCTACCATCCCAATTCGATTGGAGTCCAGAGCCCTAACTCCTTTGTACCAAGAACTCTTCCAATCCAAAAATTAATCACTCCAACAACGACGAAGAAGGCCAAAATTAGAAGTAATCTCTTGTTTGTTGGAACGGACGACGTGTTGTGAAGGTAAAAATTTCTTCTTTCTGGTTACCGACATGAGCTTGAGTGACGAACTGTTCGATAGGGAGTAGTGGTGCACCGAAAAATTTTGGGGAAAAATATTTGTTTCTTTCGTCTACCAATTTCACCTTGTTTCAATCTTCTTCCATTTTCATTTATTTGTTGCTTGCTTATGTAAATGGAGATGAATATGAATTTATCTGCCAAACAATGTTTTTTGTTTCCTCATTGTTAAATGGAGACAAATATGGATTTAGGAAATCGGGCACACTGTCATGTATCTATCTTCACGAAGCCTATGCCTTTCTTCATTATGTTACATTATTCACTTCAATTGATTCATTTTTTGATAGGTCACTTCAATTGATTCATAATGTTGTAAAAGTAGAAATATATATCCTGCATAATTTGGTGAGGGAGAGATTATAATATCTTGTACTGTTTGTTGAGGCGATGCTAGTAGTTAAAATGTTCGTTGCAGGATTATGTAATGCCTGTGTATTTGGAATATTCCTGGAAGAGACTTGATTTGTAGAAATTACAGTAAGTGTTGTTTAATTTTCTCATGTTTATCATTTTTTTCCTCACTTGGTTTGAAGCATATTGCAATGGGAGGAAGGAACCAAGGGATGTGCCATGGTTGCCGAAAGGCGGGCCACTACTTGTTGGATTGCCCGAGGAAAAAAGCATGTCCAGTATGCGGCAAAGGAATTCAAAAATGCATGGAGGTTGAAAAGAGGACTGAAAACTTAGGGTGGCTATTCTTTTGCTGTACTAACGATTGCAATTATTTCAAATGGCTTGACGCGGACGAATATTGTGAATATGAGGGTCAATCAAGCGGCACATCGAAAATTGATGAGTTGTCAGGTTTGTTGACGCATGTGGCTAAAATAACCGAAGAAAAGGACGTCGATATCTCAATCAAATTTACTTTCCGCAAGGGAAAAGGAGAGACGGACTACGGGAAACAAAATGGAGGACCTCCGTGAAACTGAACCATTTATGTTAATTTCAAGTTGGCGTAGTTCGTCAATTTAATAATCTATTTGTAGACGTCGAACATGTAATTTGAAATTTCCGCTAGTAATTTCACTGATTCTATGTCTTAAACGTTACGGCAATTATGTCATTTGTATATCGGTTTCGTTCTCGAAATACATGTTCGCAAGTGTTGTTTACTTACCTGCTGCAACTGTTGGCTATTAGCTGTCATGTTTGCAACTGTTCTTTACTTAAAATTATTTCCTTTTATTCACAGTCTCTGGTGGCATGGAGTCGAGGCATTAGATTCCGAACTGGAAACCTTTTATTGAAATTACAAAGATGACTTATATTATATGAATCATACTTGAAACTTTAATGGGTGATACAAAGCGAAATGCAGATGTAGCTCCTTTAATTTGCTTTACCGTTGGATTTATTCTGACATTAAGTGTTCTTGACTAACCAAGCATTTCTCATCCTTCAAATCGATACCTGACCACTATTTATTTGAAACCTCTTTCTATGTCCTTACTATGACATCTTTTGCATTAATTTCGGCTCCTTGAATTGCTAATTTCTGTAATAATGATCTTTTCAATGCATGATACTCGTACAAGAAAGCTATTGAAATATCCATTGGCATAGAACGGCTCCTACAAGAAAGCCTCATAATTTCCTTTAATTTTGATATTTGCACAAACATAAATGAATTAAAGTTGTGAGCTTCAACTCCAAAAGGAACTTAATATATAAATTAAATCCAGTTCATGTCATATACTCAGACACACAGTTAATTTACATACATAATACCAATGGATATTTTATAGCTTAATTGAAAATGACGCTAAATTAATTTGAGAAGTTACCTTTATGAGGCCACATGGAAAATAAAAAACGAAAAGAAAAATCAGATGCCCTGTAAAAAAGTACCAATACTCGTTGAATTGTAGCTGAGAAGGGACATCCCACTGAAGATATACATGTCAACAAGATTTACACTAGCAGAAATATACATTTTTCACATATTCATTCCTCACACATTCATGAATTCTACCATCCATACTAGTGACTGTTTGGCCATTAATATGTTATCAAAAATCATATCTAAGTTGTCAATAACAGCAACAGGTTGACAATGTACATTTACATTGGACAAAATCAGATTTCAAAAGCTTCTGTTAAAAAACCAGTGGTCGGTCGCTGGCAAAGACTTGGCTGCTTCATCTTGGCAGGCATATGGTTGCTTCACTGCAACAATAGAGAGATATGTTAGAATACATTTTTTTATAAGACAGTGATAAAACTATACTAAACCCCTTATCGTATGTTAGATTCGACCGAGAATGCAAAAAGCTTAACAAGTCATCCCCTAGCTTGCATCAAAAACCAAAAACACGAACTTCAAATATACGTTCCTCCTGATACACTTTGATTTGTGTGCCTTCTTTTCCGTGGCATTGACACTTTCGTACTACCTGATTCCGTGTCCCCCAGGTCAAACATGTCATCTACGACATCTTCGAAGTTCACATCGTCGGTCGGAACACGAACCGAATCTGGTTGAAGGGAACCATTGTTGCAGCAACAGATTTTAGGCCAGATGAATGTGGTTCACGAGACAATGTCGGGGTTGGAATGAAGCGGAATGTTTGCTTGTTCCCATCATCTTGCCCCGACGATGCTCGCTGTCCCCTCTCTGGAACCATTTTCCCCTACATAATGCAATAATTATGGTTATCAAACTGCTCATGCAATCCATAAAATATCACAACGGATATTGAGAACAAGAGTACTAACTCGATCGTCGCCTATTCTAGAGCATTGTGCGACAACCGGTTCTATAATACCGTCAAATCACTCCTGTCCACAAAAAGCAAAAGTTAGAATAAATTCAAGCTATTATCACATCAGTGAAAGCATAAGCGTACTAACAGAATCTGGAGCATTCGGCCTGGAGTGGTATCGCTTGTTGTGACCCCGCTTTCTGCATACTGAGCATGTCATCTTCAGATGTCCCTTTCTCTGAATATAGTTTTTCTCGCTTGAATGCACTATCACGCCTTCATCCGCTCTTTTTCTCCAATTTATTTGTCTCTTTCCCTTTCGTAGCATAACTCATGATGATGGAGCAATGTCAAGCATATCCAACTGTGGCCATAAAGGCATACCATTGATCAGAAGCATGATGCTACTGTAGCACTGATGTACGTCTCAATCATGAAGCAGTTGTGGACAAAATCTTCTGGATCATTTCTGCAATCCCTTATCACTGCAACTGCATGTATGCAAGGTATGCCCGTAAGTTGCCACTCTCTGCATGCACAGGTTCTTCCACAGGTTCTTCCATGTAGATTGACAACATAAGTTTCGAAGCTGCATTCAACTTGCCATTCAAGACCACTTGAAAAGTGCAATGTGCATTCACGTGATTTCTCAGCATTCTTAACCAATTTTTTCTTGACCTTCGGACACAAGTGTCTTGTGCATCTCATCATCTTCTCTCGACACTTTTGAATCCTATTCATGAAGGTTAGTTGCAGTGATGTCAACATCGACAAGATCATCTTTTTTCTATCACTCCTCAAAGTCTTGTTGAACACTTCGCATAGATTGTTAAGCAGAATGTCACTCTTCGATTCATCTGAGAAATGTGATCTACTCCATTCTTGTGGTCGTCATTCCATAATCCATAGGTATGCCTCCTCACTTAGTTGACGAATTTGTTGCATCCAATGTTGATAGTCGGCAACAGTGGTGGACTTGGCAGCACGCCATAAATAATTCTTCAGAATTTTACTCTTAAACCCAGCATTAAAGAAGTCCGTGTACATATGTCGTACACAAAACCTATGCTCGGCTGCAGGGAAAAACTCGTTCGTCACATTTTGTAACCCCTTTTGTCTGTCCGTCATTAGAGTTCATCCCATTCCATTTCCAATACTAATATCCTCAGAGAGAGATGTCAAGAACCATCGCCAAGATGCAGTATTTTCTTTCTCAACAACTACATATGCAACAGGATAGATGCAATCATTAGTGTCAATACCAACTGCAATTAACATTATCCCTCTGAAAGAACCTCTTAAGTGACATCCGTTAACACCTACCACCATTCTACAACCATCTCGAAAACCTGCCTTACAATAATTTAAGCATACATAGATCTCCTTAAAGATTTGCTCCTGTAATGCAATAATAATCATGGACCCAACATTTGTCCGTAGTACCTCGGCTGCATAAGACCGCCTAAATTGCTCATGTAAACTTCCTACTAAAATTTCTTTAGCATATCTCCGCATTTTCCATGCCACATTTCTGCTAATGTCTGTGTGGAGATCCTTCTTCACTGTAGCCAAAATTAGCTCGATCTTCCAGTTTGGGTCAGCTTTGAATTGCTCTATTTATCGACAGGTCAAGAAAATGTAATTACAGTGTCTATTAAATTGGTCCCGACTACAAGTATGCTCAGATGTATAAGATTTTACTTGCATCCTCTCGGATGCATCCATTCTAGAAGCCCATATTCGCCATTGGCAACCCAATTTACAAATTCCTTGCACTCTTCTTTCATCATTTGCCTTGAACTTCACATTGGACCCGTTTAGTGCATCGTACATTCTCACCGCCTCTCGAAACTCTGCTGTAGAACTTAATATTTGACCTACCTCGAACTGAGGATTTCTCATGTCCTGATCAAAATTGAATTCAGGAAACTGATCACCACCATCATCATTAAATGAACATTGGGAAAGTAGTTCATCTGACGACGGCAGTTCCAATTCATCCACCTCGGTATTGTTGCACTCTTTTTGTTTGGGATGAACTTCATCTTGTCCATGGCCCAGTCCAATTTCAATCCCCCTCAATTACATTTCTATCATATTCGATGTCATCTTGTTCAGACTCAAAGTCGCGGTCGGAGTCAATGAAGTCTGGATCTTCCTCGCAATCTGTAGTACAATAGAACCACATTCAGCAAGAATAAATGCAAATGGTCAAAATCATGTAACTTCATGTAATGTATGTCTTTCGCATCGCAAATATGAACGGAAGAAAATAAAGATAAAGACAATGGTTATAACAAAATGGGATTAGGCTACGCCAACATGTTCAGCCAAGTGGGAATGGGACATTTTCATGTCATTAATTAAATATACATACTATTAAGGTAAAGATCCTGAAAACCTTTCTGTCATTCTGGGAAAACTATACTAATGCAGGATGTCATATGCTTCCATTTCTATTCTGCTTAGTCATTAAAACTGCCATCAATAAAGCAATTTACTACAAAATCTGTACAAAGGACCATATGAATTAATCACTCATACACAAAATTAGGAACGCGTGAAAAGAAAAAAAGTTTTGCCAGAAACAGAAATCCAAGAGATCATCACTACAACATTACAACTCCTGACAACCATGTCCATGAACTCTTTCAATGCCTAAAGCATAAAATCCAAAGAATCGAAGATTACCTTCGTGTCTGTCCATATAAGCGCCAGCGAGTACGGCATTGAAGTACTGAAATGAGAAGGGCGCTGCTTTTTCCCGCAAGTATTTGGGTCGTTGAGTAGTTCAATTTGGTTGGATGGTTGATTTTCTGGATTTAGGGCTCAGGGTTTGGTTCACTTCCTTCTGTACTTCGTGTTTCTTGGAGATGGAAGAAATGGGCCAGTTAAACGAAAACGTCCTTCAATGTGGGTTCTAAAAGGCGTGTTTGGGTATTCCAACGTGGAATCTGGCTTGGTAAGGAGATTCATATTTGGAAGGATTTAATTGGCCACATGATTTTTCCGTCTGCCATGTCATTTCGGGAACTAACGAATTTCAGCCGACGAGTAATGAAGTGGGATGGAGTGAAGTTCGGTGGCCACCGAGACAAGTTTCGAAGTTCGATGAGTAAGTCGAGACATTATGCAAAGTTCAGTGGCTACTGAAACATTTAACTCCAATTATATGTTCTTAAATTCTCGATATTCCTTATAAGTTAATGGGTCTTTGGTACCTAATTTCTGAAATTCATGAGTGATCAACAAGAACTAGAAGGTTCATGATTTTCGTGTTGTAACATTTCTTAACTCACTATTCTACTTCAAATTTCCTTAAAATTTGAGTTTTTTTCCGTTTCATGGGTAATTATCTGTAACCATTAAACGGTTGAGCGAGATAAGAAAATTTCCTAAATATGGAAGGCGTATTTTCATTTTCATACAAAATCTATCAATTTGTAATACAGTTGATGCAATCCAAGATGGAATTTGTTATTTCTTGGAGTGAATCCCCTTGACACGAGTCATATTTTCCTTGCTTGTTTGAGTTTTATTATTATCTTCTTACAATTTAAAGTGAAAATCAAACATTAATTTTAACAATACATTCACAACTAATATCTACCTTTATCCATGTATTTCGTGAGGTTCATTGGTCCTCTTAAATATAATCATATTATAAATTTTTTGAAACAAGCAAAAATTGCTTGAATCTCATAATTGCATAATTAATGAATATCCGATTGCTAAAAAATTTCTGTAACTAGGCCGATGTTTGACCATACATTTATGTTAACCTTAGAAAAAAAAGAGTAATGTTATTTAGTACTATTGGAATTTAATATCAATTTAGGTGGCATCATTTGTGTCATTAAATTATAGGTCCTATTAAATACAAGAACTTATAACTCATTATTATGACCTGCCACATACTTACACCTAAATTGGTGTTTGATAATATTATTCATAAATAAATCACTAGATCACATATTACTTGTACGAATTGCTGTAATATTCTTCCAGGTTTACATTAAACCTTTTCCAATATTGAAGAAGGGTTGTCTCATAATTGATAGTATTGTGACTTCATTTTGAATTGTAATAATATTATAAAATCACTAGAATCTTGAAGAAGTATCAAATATTACTTGTACAAATTGCAATATTATTATTCGAATTTTGCGCTAATACTTTTCCAATTTCGAAGAAGGATCAATTTAGGTATCTCATAATTGCTAATATTGCGAATTCATTTTGAATTGCAATATTACTGTTGCAATTTAGGTATCTCATAATTGCTAATATTGTGAATTCATTTAGAAATGCAATAATATTCTTGCAATTTTGCATTGAAGTTTGACAATGAAATATCTTAAGGTGCCTAAGAATTGTCACCATAAATAGCCTTCTAAAATCTTGATACAACACAAAAATCATTTTACAACAACTCGTACGTGATGAAAAGCCTCTTTTTATTTCTTATTCTATTGGCGTGTAACCTTCATCTCACAGTTTGCTCTTGTTTTTTTAGTACAAAATTTGAGATGCATGTCTCCAACCAACTCCCACAGGGATCAGTGCTGAAATTGCATTGTGCATCTAAAGATGATGATCTTGGGTATCATACTCTTGCTGTCGGCCAAGAATTTCGTTGGAAGTTTTGTGAAAACGTTTTCTCAGCTACATTATTTTTCTGCACTCTTAGGTGGGGTTCGGAGTTTGCTTCTTTCGATGCTTTTTATACTGCATGGGCACATAAATACTGTATTAGTGGTTCTTGCTTTTGGATAGCAGAGGATGATGGCATCTATTTTCAAGATTCGGATGCACATCCGTTCAAAGTGCTTGACTGGAAACATTAAGAATTATTAATGTATTAATTATTTTGTGCACTATGTTAAGATTCAATAATAATTAATCTATCCTTTTTAAGTTATATATTATCTATGTCAAGTTCAAATTTTATCAAAAGTGATTAGATTTTTCAATTAACAACTAATGCATGTATACGGGTTATAAGTTATGTCGAACTTTGTGTTGTGAATTTTGAGGATATATATTGGATCATCGGTCGGAAAACAATCACCACCATGTGCATCAATATTCATCGTTACCTACATTCGTCCTCCACATTGATATAGAGGACTATTGATCATTTGATTACCCGCAAGTGAACGGGATCGTGCGTGAACAAGTAATATAGTAGTGTGAAGAGTGTCGAACCCACGAGAACTATGTGTTTGATCCAATTAAAATTAATAATATCCTTAATCGAATAGCAAAATGAAGTTGTGACTAACTAATATTAAATCAGGCAACTAACTTGAAAACAAAGTAAAAATTTATCAAATTCGCGAGAAGTATTGCTAAGATGTTGAATCCCACTTGCTAATCCATTTTTCAATTCGATAATTTAAATTGACAATTTGAAATCATGCTTGTTGGTCAATGTTCCTATTTTAATTGAAAACCTCTTTTGATAGTTATCAAATCTATTTCCCTCATGCGACTTTCCTATCTCTCGATGAAAGATGCGAACATGATAAATACATTAAACGAGTTAGAACATCTTATAAAAATCATATGAAGCATAGATGTATATCTCTATCATCTATCGAACATTAAAATATGTATTATTATGTGCTAATGATCTTATTACCTCTCTCGATGATAATAAAATTCACAAACAATTCAATTAATGGCCAGATAATTGAAAAAAACAATTTAATCCATAATAAACATTCAAGAATTCAAACAAATTTAACGTCAATCTAATTATTCAAATCAAAAACGTCATAACAAGGGTTCATCACATTTTAGCAATATAAAAATCTAACCAAACATATTGTCGAAATTAAGCGCAAAAAAGATAAATGATATCACCAAAAATTGACGAAACGTTACTATTTCCCGTCCAATTGTTGATAAATTATCGAACAAAGATTGGAAATTAATACCACTTTCCAAAGCTGCCACCATTTTTTGTATGTCTCCCTTTTTTGTTCGGTTTGCGTGCCTATATAAAATCAATTCACTTGCTGCCTCCTTTTGCATATATACATATATTTGTGATTTGAAACAGCATGCAGCCATTTCTTTTTACAGCAATTTTAGCAGTTTTTTTTTTAGCAGATTCGGCGGGTTTTTTCTCATCAATTGCCGCCGAATAATGATACCATCTGTTTGTAATTTTCAGCAACAGTTAACCTCCTCTTTTTCTTCTTCTTTTTGTTTTTTGTTTTTTTGGCCTTTTTCTCGCCGCCGCCGATTGCCTCTTTTTTTATCTCCGGCCACTTGCCCTTTATTTTTTTTTCCTCTTTGCGTCTCCGTCCTCTTCTACCGTCTAATGTGTGATATAGCCGTCTAATTAAATTTCACTAGCCGGCAGCCCAGTTCAATTAATCTAACAAATGTCCAATTTGATTTTTACTTCCATTCCAAATACAAGTCCAATTAAGACCCAAATTAATTTTCATTGTCTTTAACATAAAGCCCACTTCCCATTCCAACTCCAATTGGTAAATGGCCCATCAACTTTATGTTTCTTCAATTTATCCAACAACCAGATTTAGTCCCCTTATTTTTGGATTTCTACCATTTTTCGATAATTTTTTGCTTCTTTCCTTCACTTCCTTTTCATTCAAAGAATTTACCTGTTAAACATAAGATAAAACAATTTAGGGTATAATTTGTCAAAAGAACTAATAAATATTATTATTTTAGGGCCTGAATAAGTTTATAAATTATACCTATCAACTATATATATATATATATATATGAAAACTGATTTAACACATTAAACACCCATGGATTCAATTGATTATCAATGATTTAACCATCAAATATTTTTTGATTCGCTATGAAAACCTAAGGCAAGCTGTCATACTTCGTTGATTGTCTATTATTATCGATTTGCTCCAATCGTTTTGTGTTCTTATTGCTTACAGGTTCGTTGCACCATTTAATTGGTATTAGATGGCTGCCATGCGTGATGCACCATATGCTAGTGGTGGTGGTAGTGGGGGGACTCCCATAATGTGGGTCTGCATCACTTTTGACTCCGATCGGAAAAATCCTTTCGTTGGTATAGAAGGGGAATAATTCGATGACAAATTGAAATAGTCTCAATTATGTGTCCAAATACTCAATATTCTTACAAATTAATGTGTCTTTGATACCTAATTTTCTGAAATTCATGGGTGATCAAGAAGAACCAGAAGGTTGTCTATGATTTTCTTGTTGTCACGCTTCTTAATGAGCCACTCCACTTCAAATTTCCTTGAAGTTCGAATTCTTTTCCTTTCACGGGTAATTATGTGTGAACATTAAAGGGTTGAGCGAGATAAGAAAATTTCCTAAAATATGGAATACCTCATTCTCGTATGAAACCCATGAATTTGTATTACTGTTGATACGATCCAAGATCGAAGAAGACTAAGGCCATGTCTGACTCGCATTCTTTCTAAAAAAATACATTTTTCAATAGTGATTTGATTTTATCTCAATCACACATGCTCAATAAAATAATATTAAACGTAAATCCAAAATTTTTATTATTTTTTAACTACACATTTTTCATCAATACATTATTCAAAAATACATTCTTATGGAAATAATATGGCTCAAACAAGGCTAAAGGCACGGTGTTTTTTATTTCTCGGAGTGAATCCCCTTGACATGAGTCATATTTTCCTTGCTTGCTGGATCTTTATTATAATCTCCTTATAATTTTAAAGTCAAAATTAACATTAATTTTAATTAAACATTCACCTTTAATATCTACTTTGTTATTCATACACATGGAGTTCATTATTCCTCTTAAATATAATCAAATTACTCCCTCCATTCCATTTATATAGATTGGTTTTGTGTTTCACATGGATTAAGAAATCTTATCAATGTTATTAAAAAAGTAATTTTTAACAAAAACTTTCATAGTTTATTCCTATTTATATTTGTACAATTTCAAGATTAAGCGAAAAAAAATGATTATAATTAGGCAAATTAAATAAAGGTATATTAATAAATGAACAAAACAAAACATTCTCAATACAGAAAGAAGATTATATAATTGAGACAAAAAAATAAAGAAAGCCAACCTATATAAATAGAACGGAGAGAGTATAATTTTTTTTATACGAGCAAAAAATTTCTTAACTACATTATTTTTCTGCACTCTTGGGTGGGGTTCAAAGAAGCAGTCTTTCAATGCTTTTACTTCAAAATGGGCAGATAAACACTGTCCAGTGCTTCTTACTTTTGGATAGCAAAGAGTAGTGGACTCTAATTTCATGATCAGTATGCATATCCCTCCAAAATATATGACTAGAAATAAGAATTATTAATGTATCACTTATTTTGTGCATTATGTTAAGACTCAATAATAATTAATCTATCCTTCGAGTTATATCTACATAAAGTTCAAATTTTAGATAGAGAAAGTGATTTGAATTTTCATTTAACCAGTAATGCATGCATACATGAGTTGAATTTGCTCTTCTAGTTCGTAGTTCTTTCTAGATGAAACAAAACTTAGTCAATCATCTAGACCAAATAGAATCGTCCAGTCCATGGATGAAATTATTTGAGCTATGAAATCAATTCATCTACAGAATTAAGACAGTTAAAGATAAAAATGAATATATTAACCACAATAGATTTTTTTTAAGTGATTTAAAATAGGAATTCTTTCTTTACTTTTACAAATTCAAAGAGGACTCACGTTCATTGAGAGAAATAGCAGCTCTATTTTCTTTAATCCAACTTCAGTTTTAGCCTAGACATCAATTAGGTAGCTGAAGTAACTTGAGCGAAAATCGATTATGACGCTGGGTAGGATAGTGATTATCCTATTGACTTGTTGTAGCAGATGATCCGCAAGAAAAGAACAACAGAAAACGCCCAAAAATCAGAGAAAATACTCTGAATTCAACTCAATATTATTAATAATGCCAAATGATCAAAATTAACCCACAAGCCATGTTAAATAACTACGAAATACGAAATTATAGGAAAATTACCAAAAATGGCAAAATCCCGAAATTATATCATAATAAAATATTAAGTAAAAGAAGTAAGTTGCCAAAAAACTGGCTTAATTCGAGTTTTCTAACATATGGAAAAAAGGAAACGAAATATTACCATAAATAGTAAAAAAATAACTTGGAATTGAATTTTGGAAAGGAAAACAGTGGATTTTGGGTTCGAAATTGACGTCTACAGCTCGGTAGCCACGACGTGCGCGCCGAAGAAAGCTTTCCGAATTGGGATTATAATAGCGATTCCGATAACCGTAACCAAAGTTATGGTCAAATTACTAAAGACTCGTCAAATTCCCCCAATTAAGGAAATAATGGTGATTCACTTTTCATTTTTGCGCTGATTCGCCATTTCATGGTATCTCAGCGCCATCATCGTGCTATTTGACAAATCAGCATCACTAGACTCGGATCCTCCTACATCAGGTTATGAAAGTGTGATTAATAATTGATTACACACTAGCCAAATATATATTTTTTCAATTTTACATATTCAACTGTTGGGGAAATAAAAAATTAACCGAATAAAAATGATGTGATCATATATTAATAAATAGCATTATTTATAAAAAAAAATGCTAAATAAAAGATGAACCAAAATCAATAAATATTTTTGGAAAAAGTAAAATGAAAAACCAAAATAGAGAACATTGTTGAGTGTCTCCATAAGATTTTTTAAATACAAGATACTCTATATTTTAGAGAGTTTATACTTAAAATAAGATTCAAGGAACTCTTTATTTTAATATTTTAAAATAGAGAATGAGTTTGATATTCTAATTTTAGAGAGTCAAACTCACTTTATATTTGTACTTTGTAATAAC